CATCTCTGTGAGTATAAGAGACCTCCAAGTTATGAAAAGCTTTACCAATCTTCTAACAAAGAAGTCTTCTCAGCTAGTCTTCTAAGAAATAACTAAGTGGGTAGGTTAAAAAAAAAAACTCATCGGATTTCGGCCACTTTATTTTCAGGAGGCCCCCTTTTCAGCTTTTTAACTTTTTAACTTTTTATTTTATTTTTGAAAAAAATCGGCCAAGGGGGGGGGGGGTCATGGCCCCCATGGCCCCCCCCCCCTTGTATCCGCGCCTGATAGGAATAGTGATATGCAAAATGCCTAGGTTGAAGGAGAATCACGATAGGATTTGTAGAACTATTGTTCGCGTAGAAAAGTAAAAATGTAGGTTAGTACATAAACGGTCCCGATGCGCTCAGCAGGTAAGCACATGTTCAAACACCACTTTGGACAATCCATAAAAACATGTGAAAGACGGGAATGGGATCACGACCCCTCAAAACATTCTTATTTTTAACATGCTAACATGGAACGCGCCTTGACCTAGCCCGCGCCCCATTGGAGCGGATGGGGGCGAAACGCCCCCCTCTCCTTATATCAACCCCTATTCAGTCGATATATCCCAAAATATGGGAGATATCGCCACGAAACATTCATGACCCCTCCACACATCAATTTTACACTTTGTGACCAAATTTTGTTTCTAAAGCCTATAAAAGGTTGGCAGTAAATGACGCCAGTGAAGTCGGTTTGTCATTTTCGACTAATTTCGGAAAGAGCTGTCATATAGGTACCTACAGTTTTGGAGATAGATAAAGATCCCAAGATGGCGTCTCTGTGACGAGTGGTGGCCATGATTCACTAAATATTAGGTATTCTCCTTCCATTTGGACAGTTGTGACGACTAATACCAGGATCAGGAATTTGTCACGGGCGCACTGTGCGGTGTGTGCCGTACGAAGTATGTTTATCCGTTTCTGGGGTCGGTTCTGTGTCGGAATACTGGCTGCGGCGCCATTGGTCCACGTCGGTCCCTGATAATCCACCCCACACCTACACGTGAAGTCGGCGGACTGCGGGCTGACTGCGGTCACTCGCCGGAGCGAGGCACTGCGACCAGCGTGGCATTGCACACGTCCCAGAGTTCTGAAAACTGACCGGAGATTGCCCGTCTTACAGTCACAACAGCCCTGCTAACTGGATGGGCCTTGAAAAGGCGAGCCCCACCGATCAGCGGCCTTTCTGGAAGAATGCGCAAGTAGGCATGGATACGCTCAGGTATGTGGATATGCTCCTATTTAGGCTGATTTCACCAGCTATGTATCCACGATGTCCCGGCCGCCGAGGTCCGAGTCTGGAGGGAGTCTCAGTCGCGCGCGGCGCCGCGGCTCTGTGGCTGGCCGTGGCCCTGGCGCCGACTCCGGCCCAGTCCTGCATGGAGACGGCCTGGCGCCGCGGCCATCTCGGCCCCGAGGCTCTGATCGAGGCCACGAGCGTGGCTGACGCTGTGACCGGCAGCTGCACCTGCTGCGCCATCTGCCACCGCACCGCCAACTGCTCCAGCTTCGGCTTCAACTCGGCGACCGCAGAGTGTAAACTGTACAACACCGTGGCCAGCTACGCCACCCTGCTGGTCGATTCTGATGAAAACTGGAGCTACTTCGTGATGCCGGGCCGCTCGGCGCACGAACAGTTCTGTCGCCACGACTCGGACTGCACGGAGGAGGGGGACGCGTGCCGCGGCCGAGTCTGCACGAACCACACCTCGGTCACCTGCCGCGTCATCTGCGAGGAACTCGGGGCCGGCCACAGGTTCGGATGGTTCATCTTGAGCATGTACGGATGGTACATTCCCCGTATGTACGGCTGGCTGAACGGTCAGACCCTAATGCTGACCTGCTGGATGAAATACGGAATTTATGGCTACACGCAGCTCCTCTACAGCACAACAGGTTTCCAGTTCAATAACCAGACCATTCTCGACTTCAACCGCGCATTGGATGCCGGGAAACCTCGCTCGATCCTCGGACTGGCCGAAGATCTGCGCAGGTCCAACAACGGGTCATCGGATTATTCCGTTCGGGTTTGGGCCAGGGGAATCGACAAAACAAGTTTGCTATTATACAAACAGCCACGCCATGAGCCGGTCCTTGCTGAAGCACCTAGAAGCAAGCAATATGGATCAACTTATCTATTTGCCGCTACCAAGCTTTACCTGCCTCAATCCGGACCCACTCTGCTAAGCATCAACCTCGACCCAGCTGAGACTCAGTCGCACCGAGGTGCCCTGGCTCGCACAGACGGCGAGATCCTCTTCGACGCCATCACCGTTTACATCAGGGAGTAGCCTGACTAGTGGCTAGTACAACCGACGGAGGCGGCAGATGGAAGACACCGGGGCCGAGACGGGTCCGAAGGGACCGGTAGGGGGAGACGGGAGATACTGGGAGAGACGGGACAGGCTGGGGGGACGAGATAGACTGAGGGAGACGGGGGAGACTGGGGGAGACATGAGAGGCTGAGGGGAGACAGGAAATGCTGGGGGAGACGGGACAGGCTGAGGGAGGCGGGACGGACTGGGGGGAAACGGGACAGACTGAGGGTGACTGGACGGACTGGGGGAGATGGGACAGGTTGAGGGAGCCATGAGAGGCTGGGGGAGACGGGAAAAAACGAGATTTGCTAGAGACGGTACAGAACAACGCGACAGACTGAGGGAGAAGAGTAGGGCAATAGAGGCAATACAGTGCTTAGGACAATACAGGCTGGGGGAGACAATGCAGACTGACGTAGACATAACAAGACAAACTAGGGAAGAAAAACAGAACAGACTGGAGGAGACAAGATTGACTAAGCCGAGACAAGATGAACTAGAACCTACAGGACGGGGATGGAAACGACAGCACAAGGCAGACTGCTGCGTCAGATTGATCTTATGGCACTTCTTATGGTAATCGATATCCACTAGGCTTGGAGTGTTCACCGGATGCTCAATAGAGCACACTTGATTCAATCAATACGCAAAAACACGATCATAGCTCTACTTCTATATGATGTCTCATTCAAGACGGTTCAATTCTTAAAAACTTGCTACGCATGCTATATAATGTAGCGCACAATCTGAGCCAAGATGGTAGATTGACAACCAAATAGGGTAGTACCTGCAGTGTTTTTAGGTCCCGTTCACTATCCGCATATCATGTCAGTACGCTAAGCAGTGGCATTGTACATTGTTGAAACCGTGATGAGGTGTTAACCCGCGCCCCGTTGGGCTCTGCCGAGCAACGCGCCCCGTTGGGGGGGGGGGGCATTTTGGCCCCCCCCCCTAAGATCTCGAGAACCACGCAACCTAGCGACAAGCGGCAAACGGTGTTGGATAGCCCTATCAAGGAACTACCTTGTGACCCAATTTTATTGACCCAGGTCAAACCGATGACGTCACAGGTCAGGTCAAAGGTCCAATTTTCACCGTTTATAGGCATTTCAAGAAATGCGTTGTAAAATCGAGTAAAATGCATTTCATTGAAAATCATCGATGGGGAAATGTTCTTCAAACACATATTTCGCTATTTGAGGTCACTAATACCAGGTCAGGTCACAGAGGTCAGGTCACTGGGGAGTGGGGGGTCACAATATGAAAGTGTCGTGTGATACATGTTTTATGGCCCATCTTACATGAAAAATGCGATTATGTGGGTCAGGCAGCCTTTCGGGCCAGCTTAGGTCACGTTTAGGTCAAGGTCAGGTCAAGGTCAGGTCAAGGTCAGGTCAAATTAGGTCAAATTTCAAAGTTAATATTTTTGCATAAAATGGGTATCGAATCGATGCAGCTCGTCACGGGGAGTTCAATGGTGGTCTTTGTTTTGCCGTACGTGGTCTAAAATCGCTAAAAATTGAGTTCAAATATTTGACGTCATCATTTTTTAACAGTTTTTTTCGCTATAACTTGGCCAAAAAACGAGATATCGATCTGAAATTTGGTATGTATATAGAAGAGCGCAGGGACTATCACATTTATTCCGTTTTTTTTTTTTCGAAATTCGGAAAAATTTTGGATTTTTTTTAGTTTTTCCAAAAAAATCAACTTTTTGAATTTTTTTGGGTCAAAAACCCAAAATTTTGAAAATCCGAGATAGCAGTTTTGTAGTGCCGCTTTTTGTCTACTAGACCATATAAAGAACTTTGAAATTGCTTGATAACTGTAGATTTGTTGAGCGTTTCAAGATTGCATGTTTTTTGCTCATTTTTGCTCGAACATGACCTCAGTTTGACCTCAATAACTCCTGACCTAAGGTGACCTAAGACTTGAAATTTGGTGTGAAGGTGTCAAATTGATGCCCGGGGAGGTACTGAAAATTTGGCGGCGCTGCGCGCCGCCGTTTTCTTGCTATTCAGGAAAAACCACAGGGGGGGGGGGCAAAATGGCCCCCCCAACGGGGCGAGGGTTAAAAATTCCTGTTAATTATTTTTAGTTCTTTGGTGTGTATCTAGAAGTGCATCTTTCAGGTACATCATTCAGGTAATTCACCTGGAATACATTTCGATTGAGTTAACCATGAATTAAGACGCCGTTTAGACATTTCTCCTTATTAATGCAAGTGTCAAGTAAACCAAGACACACGCTCAGCCGTGTTAGGATAGATATTTAGGTAGATGTTCTTATATACCCTGGATGTTCTCGCCAAATGCTTACATTTATTTCTTCTCCTTCAGTGAATAAATGCATGAAAAGTCGAAGAAATGGGTCTCTATCCATCGATGAAGGGGATATTTCACTACGAGCGTTCTGCAGCGGCATGATAAATAAAGAATAGCATGACACAAATAGAATAACAGATGCAGTGTAGTAGCTGGGTAATGCATAAGGCATACCCGTGTCTCTCGCTGCGGCATCTGTTAGATGGCTACGCAATGTGACACGCCTTACACGCATGTGTCTCGAAAATCGAAATACAACTTTTCCTTCTAAGACCACTAGCTTCCAAACTCCAAAGCCGATTTACATTAAATGCGTCAAAATACAAAATACATTAATGTACATAGTATTTATTTTATAAAAACATTCAAATACATACACACCGAGCACAGCCAAGACTACTTCACCCTGACAATTTTGGCAAAGTACATGGGTCCGAAGTTGTTGACCACAGAGGGCAGCACCATCTGGCCATACTTGACTCCGCAGCCACGGGCGAACCAGAAGGCGCCGTAGAAGGGTCGCATGGCCTGCGTCATGTCCTTCACCACCACCTGCACATCCGTGTCCTCCCACAACATCTTCAGCGCCATGTGCACCACGCCGTCGTTCTGAACCGGAGATAGAGTACACGTGGAGTAGACGACCGTGCCGCCCGGGCGGACCGCCTCCACCGCCCGCCTGTCGGTACGGCGGTCAGGTCAGGTCAGGTCAGGTCAGGTCAGGTCACCAGACAGCCGGGTCGAACCGCCTCCACGGCACGCCTGTCAGTACAACAGTTAGGTTAGGTCACGTCGGGTCAGGTCAACAGACAGCCAGGAAGGCGCAGTTACCACTTACCCGGCAACAGGCTGTGCCAAGATACCATGCAGTCCGGCATTTGTTTTGTTTGTTTTGTTTTGTTGGGTTAGGCCCTTTCAGTCTGACAAGACCATTGCAGAGCCGGAAGGATGATAGGAATTAGGGGGAGACATTGGTCTGGGCGAACACTCTAGTGAGTCGCCGGGGCTGAGCCCGTCCAGAGGACCAGGCACTCACTGCACCCGGCTACGGACCTGCTCGGCTTACGGGCAATCCCGCATGGGATAAAGTTGCCCGTCCAGCCCGGAACAGGGGTTGGGGCGTGGAGGAGAAGGATTTGACTGTCCTGAGGATGGAAACGACGGAACGGAGGCAGTCAGGCAGATAAATACACCAGTAAATGTATAACCCGCAGCAGCATGGTGAACACCGAAGAGAGAAGAATGAGAAAAAGAACAGGAGGTTCTTTCGCGATTCAACTGACTGATGACTAGTGAGTAGCAAATACAACATAGGACACAGCAGCAGAAATTAACATTTTGGAACGATCGGTATTAAGTGACGGAATGAACTTTGAACAGCTGGCGGGCCATTCGCGTGGCAGGCTGCTGAACGGCTTCATTCCCAAATCAGTGGCTAAGTGACTGGGGAACTACCAGTAGGTCCGGTACACCCTGAGTTATCATAGATGGCGCTACACATCGCGGTAATACGGTGAACGAGACTGAACTGAAGGTATGGAATTATGGATGCACATTGCAGACATTCACGCAGTGTAGGTCACCTAAAAGTCTGATCTTAGCATACCGACGTTGTCTCGGAAGAGGGTTTAGCACCTGTGAGTACGTCGCATACCTCCTTCCCCATACCAAGCAATGAACGATGCCTGTCGAGCGCTGATAACGAATCAGGAACATATGTTGTTGAACATATGAGTCCCGGTACATATGTTGTAGAAATAACATTTTCTGTGTCACCGTCAACCATGACGCATGTGTGACGCATTTCAAACACATCTATAAACAAGGTACTCAGGAAACTCACTTGAACAAGAGTGAGGAGGCACCTTTGAACCAGTGAATTTCATGAGCAATGACTATTTCAAACACATCTATAAACAAGGTACTCAGGAAACTCCTTTGAATAGTTAAGAGTGAGCAGGCACCTTTGAACCAGTGAATTTCATGAGCAATGATTACTTGTAATGAGCCGGCTAGACTATCTAGACGGGTCGATCATTCACGAAGCTAAAATGGGGTGATCCAGGTGCTCCATAATCCAGATGATATGACCCACGCGATCTCACCTGAGCAGGTCCGTCTGCAGCTGCGGGATCTGGATCCTCTCGCGGGACCGGCTGATGGCGAACAGGTTGTTCTCCTCCTCCGACAGCACGTGCCGGTCGGAGAAACACGGCACGTCCACCAGCACCTGGCGAGGGAAGCCACCTCCGGTCACGGCAGGTCATGGCATGTCACAGCAGATAGGCTACATCACATCAGGTTATGTCAGACCAGGTCGTGTCGGCTCTTTCAGCTAGCTGCTAGTCGCGGGGTTGGGTTTTGTGGCGCTCAATAGCTATGAAATTCCGCGGACAATACTCTCAGGCCAGGTCACGTCGGGTCAGGTCAGGAGCCTCTTGAAACGAAATAGGTACATACGCAGGAAAATTGCGTTTCATTTTAATTATCTTGCACTTGACACTTGCTCGAAAACTTTGCAATGACAACTAACGTACAAATTCTACAGAGCAGCAGGATGCTTGCGTTAGGAGGTCGAAGGAGGATAATCTGTTGCCTTGATAAAGTTCCTATGCATATAATTTGCCGATTGTACAAAGCTATGTATGTTAGTGCGGAGGGCTTTTCGCGCTGCTTCGCTGTCCTGTGCTGATGATGGTGCAGCACTGTGTCTTTGGAACAATCTTAACTCGAATGAAACGCCAGGCTTGGAACGTAAAGACAGCAGAGACGTTGGGAGACACGGGTCATGCAACGCCGGATTGAAAGTGTTGGCCGGCATTGAAGGGGTAGCAATGTTAAAGGAAAAGGGCCACCTTCGTGAAATATGAAGATATCGTTGTTTTTCATTTTGACATTATTATTTTTCATTTTCTTTTTAAAACTGGTGCCAGAAGTGCACAATTCGCGAAAAAGTATTTAAAACTATTTAACATATTGGTACTATGTTGATACTCTCTACGGCACCTGCTGTATGACGGCATAGCGATGACGTCACACTCAAGCCAATCAGCGTTCAGAAGACAGACTCGTCGGATTGTGTCAGATAAGCTGATTGGTTAAAGCTGAGCTGGTTGGAGCTGATTGGTAAAAAACCAAAGCCTCGCCGCGGGTGGCTGTATTGTCGGATAAGAACGCATTCCTGGGATAAGGACGCATTCCTGGCGTATTTTCTTTTAAAATTGCCGATAACTACGAATGGAGGCCGAAATCGGCCGTAAGGAGGTAGACAGATAGGTTTTCGGACACGGGCTACAAGATGGCTATCTCAGTTTCAATCCCCATGTTAAAGGTGGCCCTTTTCCTTTAAGAGTTGCAGCACCGGTCGATGTCACTTATCAATAATTAAATGTTTAGAAGAACTGGACACTTCAAGCTATTTTTCAGCCACTACGCTGTTCACTCAGTACCAGCCGTAACCGTTAGCGACACAGCTCCTTTCAGCCGCAGGGCAGTCACCCAAGCTGCTCAGCTGCGAGAATGACTCATCAGAGACTTCGGGAATGCGAGCGGGTTTGCTGATGGTAACAATAAGAGAATGTGCGCTTATTCTGCAATGCCAAAAGTCTGTTCAACACAGCTGAAATAAAACGCTACGCAGCTGCAGCGGCTCTGAAGCTGCGGATTAGTTCCTCGGCCAGCGTTTCTAATTACGGAGCGAGCGAAGCGAGCGTAGTCTTTCCTTAGATTAACGGAAATTTCTGAGTATGAGCGGCCGGCCGGCCGGCCGGCCGTGGTCACGCTTTTGCGAGGCTTATATCTCAGCAACCACTTGACCGATTTACACGCGGTAATTTTTGTAGGGTAGCTTCATTCCTTCTACCAAGTATTGGACTATTCCCGATGCATGTGGGTGACCCCTTATGCACGTGCCACGTGCAAAACGAAGAGGTGTCAGTTTTGTAATTGTTGCAATATCTCGGTAACTACTTGGCCGATTGCGCTGAAAGTTGGCATGTAGGTAGGCACCCACTAGGCACTGCATATACATGTGCCAGAGTTGGGGTGCTGCTGCACGTGCGCACGTGCAGGGGTCGTTTCCAGATCTCGGGAACGGCTGGACCGATTGCGCTCAAATTTGGTACACGGTTAGGGACCGGTTAGTAGGGTGCCGTGCACAAGTCAGTTGGGACCCATTTTGCACGTGCGCACGTGCAGGGTGCCGCTTCCAGATCTCGAGAACGGCTGGGCCGATTGTGCCCAAATTTGGCACATCGCTAGAGACCAGTTAGTAGGGTGCCGTGCACAAGTCAGTTGGAGGTACCCCCTCGCAATTTCGCACGTGCAAGGCCCACCCTCTCGCTCGCTCCGTTAGTCGCCCCAAAAGGCGTTATACTGGTAAATAAAAAAGCATCATACCCATCATACCATCCGGCTACAGGCAACGTTGTTCTCTGGACTGATTTGGGAAAGAAGATAGGGAATGAGATAGGGTTGAACAGATGCGACGCTCTTCGACCAGAGGTGAATGACCACCTCACGAGGGAGGGTAACTGAGAAAAAACACTCCCCTCCCCACAGAAGTCGGAAGACGGGGGACGGGGCGAGGTGGGGCGGTGGGGAGCGAACACCTGTGTCAGTCGCCGGTCGCGGTGGGTCCGTCGCTCGGCCGGCCGCCGCGGCATACAGCGGAGAGGGGCGGGCGCCGTCGCACAGGCCGGGCAGAGACGTCAGCGGACCGGAGGGAGGTGTTGGGTGCGGCCGAGGGTGTGGATGAGCACGTGTGGAGTGATGTGAGGATTGTGGCAGGTGGAACGTGACAGTTGACTCCTTACCCGAGCGTGACGGACGCCAGGAAAAGTGTTTGACGACAAACGCTGCCCGCAACCCGTCGCCAGCGTCTTCAAGGAGCCGGCCTCAATATTCTAGTGACTGACTGCATGGTAATACCCGCCCGCCCATGAGTCTGTCAATTTTGTGCTGGCCCATGTGCCCGAAACTGTCGCCTGCTCGGTGACTCCCGCAGCTGATTTAGGACCTAATGGTGACTCTTCCGTCCGAGTTTATGATTATGCACTAAACCGTTGACTCGAGTCGATGGGATGGCTGCGGACAACCGACTGAGCTCTGACTCCTCGGGAGCCACCGTGTCACCGGCTGCCCTGCGCTGGGCCAGCGCGACGCGGCGCCTCGACGAGTTCCTATTCCGGTACAAGGCGGCGATGGAGCTGGCGCCGTACCTCTCCGGACCAGGTGGGTGCCTGACATGTTACACAGTATTGACATATTGCTCTCGTACTTTTGAATTGAATTGAAGTGAACAGTAGGTACTTGCCCGTTGGTCAGGGGATAGTGAAGACATTTGAGGGTTCTTAAGTACAGAATGCAATCTTGGTAGCCGGTACCGACTGATGATCGCATGAGCTCCTCGTGAGCTAGAAATGCAGATGTTTTATTTTATGGATGCATATAGGTTGCACCTACGATGTTCCTGTATGCATCACTGAATGAACTGAAATGCTGCAAAGAACAGAATGGTACATTTATCATGGAATGGTATCATAAATGTCTGTCACTGAGTAAGTATAGGTACTGAACTTTTTCACCAAAAACGACAATACAACACCTTTCAAGTAAGATTTGACACGTAAGCACTAATTACATGTCTATGCGTAGTGCAATTGTAAATCAGGCATATCGCCAATACCTACAAACAAATTATGCAACTCCAAGTCCCGAAGGATTAAGCGACAAATATGCACCATCGATCACAACTGCAGTAGAGAGCCAGTCGTCTATTAAAACGGTGATAAATTAACACGGTCAGTCGATCCCAATGACATCCATTTCACAACAATCCGATAAAACAAATATCTGCCATAACCTTGTCACAGCTTTCGTGCAAATATCCCATGTGAAACTGGGGCTTCATACAGCTGCTGCACCTTCGACTTACACTTCCGCTGACCTTCCGTATCGGTGATAAAGCTCCATCCCGACCTCTGCCTATCATCCAATCCCAGCGCCGTGACCGCGAGCGGCCGGCCCGGTAAATCACGTGACCAAACGACCCTGGTCACTGGGAATACACCACGTGCCGCTACCTCCTGATCTGTCGGCCGGTAAATCACGTGACATACCGCCGACCCTGGTCAGTGGGAACGAGCCACGTGCCGCCAATAATCTGACCCGGTTTAACGACTGTCAATCATATGTGGGCCATAACTATATACGTAATACAAGTTCCGAGCGACTAACATACCCTTCAACACTAGCATACAAAAATACTCTTCGAAGGTAATAGCAGATTTGAACATGCGGAGCATCAATAGGTATTTAACCCTCGCACGACCAGGCCATTTCTCATAACACGAACGACCAGGGGGGGGGGGGTTGTTACGACCCCCCCCCCTGGCGTTTCGAAACGGAAGGTCGTAGAGCTTAGCGGAAAAAACCAACGGATTGCTCTCAACGAGATCTCGCGATTGATGGTATATTTTTTGGTCCTAGGTCAACATTTGACCTACTTTTGACCGGTCAAAGGTCAAATTTTCGGAAAAATAGACTTTTTTTCAACTTTCGGCGGCGATTGCGGCAAAATGGTGGGAGATATCGACTTGAAACCTTCACTATCGTGTTCCTTGATCAATTCTCTATCGTTTGGTATGTATTTCGTTTCCCTAGCTCTAAAAATGGCGCGTTGGGAGCGCCGGAAGTCGGCAAGGTCACAGTCGGCGGCAGAAATTCGAAAAATCAAAATTTAAATTTTTGAAATCTGATTGTTTTTTGGATTTGGGAGGTCCATTTGCTCCCTATAGAAGCTAATATTGCTGCATATTCCCATTGAGGTGACAAGAATTAGCAAAATAGTGGTTCGGGCGCTTTTCAAAAATAGTACCGGACGCTGTTCCTCTTGTGACGTCATAGCTCCGTGACCTGACCTGACCCGGTCAAATTTCTTATACCATATGATAGCCAATACTTGCCCCAACATGCATGGGAAGTTTCATCACGATCCATCAACCGATGTCCGTACTACCGGCAGGAAACCTCGGGCGTTGGCACTCAGTTTGTGAAAATCCGGCCGGAGGCTGTACCTCTTATGACGTCATAACTCCGTGACCTGACATGACCCGATCAATGTTTTTTCGGCAAAAGATGCGCAAAGGTTGCCCCAGAGGGTATTGAAAATTTCAGCCCGCTACGACAAGCCGTTTAGCGTGCACTTCGAAAAAACCTCAGGGGGGGGGGTTGATACAACCCCCCCCCCCCTAGGCGTTCTTGGGTTAAGATCTCCAGCGAAAGCATACTTATCAAACTGAGAAATAACACACACCCCTGATTCATTGCCGCCACCACAACGCATGTAGCGCACCCTAATGAGAACGGAATACATCACCATACCAGGAAATCAATCACATCGAATAAGAACGGAGTGAAACTCCTAGGTATGTACACAAATCATCCGCTCATCCCATCCACGAAAAAGAGGAGTGAAAAGAACGCGAAAGGGAGAGCACTCTCTGCGTTCCATTGCCAACTTCGCCCTACGCCACCTTCGTCATGAAGCACCTGGCTTGTCTATTCAAATACCTACCCTTCGGAACATTGTCATAACACTGCAAAACACCAAACACTTATATGCAGTGATGGAGACAGCATCCCGTGGTCCTGTGAACTCTGATCGAATGCGTGCCACAAACATGCTGAACGGTCATACATAAGCTTTTCTTTTTGCCATGAACGAGATGGCCTTGATCGAAAATCACGAGCCAGCCTTTTTCTTGCCAGGTAAATTTCGTAAATTTCCTAGCAATCAGAGCAGTATACATAATTTTGTAGATCCGAATGGGCTAAATTAATTTACTCTAGGACTGGGGAGCTAAATAAACATTTACTCTGGGATGTGGGTGGGTGGTGGGAGGGAGAAAGATAAGGTGATAAAGGTAGGAGACCCGGAAAATTATAGCAAGAACAAAATCAGCACAGTAAATCTATGAAACAAAGCTCAAGAACACGAAAAACTCATGTAACATCAATACCGGACGTCAAATAGGGTAAGCTGCTCAATAGGCTGCGCTGAATGCATCTCATTGTCATTAAACGTTGTCTTTGTACCCTTTAAACAGCATTCCTTGCTCCCTATTCGTTAAACTGGTAGGCGATTGACGGCTACCTTGGCTTCCTTTCAGACGGCAAGTTTCCGTGGCGATCGACATCCGCAGCGCAGACTCAGCGCGATCAACAGCAGCAACAAGAGCAGGACCAGGCGGCGCTGCACAGTCGGCTGGCGCAGCAGGCGCAGCTGATCGCGCACTACCGGCACGAGCTGGTGCCGCGGCTGCGCGGAGACATCACGCGGTTGCGCTCGGAGAGCAGCGCGCTGCTGTGCCGACTGCGACACGCCGAGCGCCAGCTGGCCATGAAGGAGCAGCACGCGGCGCTGCTGGAGCAGCAGCGACACGAGCTGCGCGCGCAGCTCGACAGCGGCCGCCTGGACGTGCCGGCGCTGGTGGTCAGCATGCGCAGCACGCTCTCCCAGCTGGAGGCGAGTCTGGCGCAGTCGCACGAGGAGTGCTGCCGGCTGTTCGCCGACGTCTCCATGCTGAAGACGGAGAAGGCGCTGGTGAGTCGCGAGCTGCACGACACGGAGCGGCGGGCCGAGGCGCTGCAGCGCGACACCCAGCGCCAGAGCGAGGAGCAGGAGCGCCGCGCCGCGCAGCTGGCCGAGCGTTTGGCGCACGCTCAGAGCAGGGCCGACCGACTGGCCGACCAGCTGGCCAGGGCTGAGGGTCAGGCGCGCCTGGAGCGGACTGCGCAGACACACGAGCTGCAGCGAGTGCAGGAGGAGAACACAGGCCTCCGGGAACAGATCGACAACTTGTTCGGTATTCTGGCCAAAAAGGATGAGACGGCGTACAAGCTCTGCTCCAAGCTGCTCACACTGAAGGAGGCGCGCGACCAGAAGGATACTGAAGCGCTGGAGACGATGGCCAAATACCAGCGCGTCATCGGCAAGGTCCTCGACCAACTCAACGACGTCAACATGGAAAACCTGCTACTCGTCTCCAACCGGCTTCAGCACAACCAGCCACAACAGTACAAGATGCTGCTCGAGAGCCTCAAGTTCAAAATCTACCTGGAGACGGAGAACGCCGGCATGACGCAGGAGGCCAACCGACTGCGCTACGAGAACTCCTACCTGAAACAGGCCAACCGGCAGCTGACCGAGGAGCTGCAGGACGTGCGCCTGCGCCTGCTGCCCCAGGAGCTGCGAGAGGAGCGGGTCGAGCTGCGCGACGGCCGGCTGACGCGCGCGCGCCGCGCCTCCCACACGCAGACGGAGCCGGAGAAGCGCGCGCCGTCGCCCACCGCCGACTCGCCGGTGGCGGCCGACTTCCCCACACCCGAGACGTCCTCCCAGTCGTCCGTGTCACTGAGCTCACTGCCGGAGAGTCAGCAGCGCGCGCCGCCGCCGGTGGCCGTGCAGGCGGGCGGCCGGCCGCGGCGGCAGAGACGCCGAGACGCGGCCGGTGGACGGCGGAGGGTCGTCACCTGGGGCCAACTGCTGGAGGCTGAGCCTGAGGATGTCGCCGCCGACCGCCTGGACACGGCAGCGGTGACACAGATGATCCAGCTGGCCGCCGCGCAAAGCACCGAGCTGGAGCAGCTCGGGCACAGCGTGGAGCTGTCGGATGAGGACTGAGCCGGCCGAGAGCGGAGGCGACGCCCATAACTCGACCGCTGTACTATACTGTACTATACTGGCACTGGTTAGGACTCGTGAGGTTGGATAATTTTTATATCCAAGAAAGAAGCTCACGAGAAGAAAATTGAAGAGATTTACGGGGTATCAGAGATACCTGGCTAAAAACAAACCAAAATCGAATCCGCATGAGAAGCACAGCTATGTATGAACGATGAGCAAGCGCCAAGGGGCTGACTCATGCGTGTTTTTGAGCTGCCAACAGCCCCATTTGGGCAGACTGATAAGTGATTTCCACAGCTGTGCCCCACGTTTAAGCTCGAACACAAAGAACACCTGATTTGACGGGCTGCTTACAAGGCAATACTTGAACGGCGCTGGAGGCAGGATTTATGAGTTCAGACGCCTCCTGGAGCAAGTTATCAAATTACAATTGTCGATCATTCCACAGAAGTCAAGAGATGTTTGAATATCGGATAGGGATGCTTACGTGGTACGACAGTTAAGATATTGTACGGATTTTCAAACGGCGACGCCAAAAACTTCATTTCCAGTTCATCATTTTTGAAGCCTACCTTTCCTAACCCTCCTTGTGCCGCCAGCCTTAGCCGAAACATTCGTCAGTCTGTGCCGCCAACCTATCTCGTGATACCCGCTAGCCTGCCAGGTGAAACGGGCACTTATGAGGCAGGTTCGCATCTGGCGACAGCAAGGCAGCCAAGTGGTTAGTAATGGCAGCCGACCAGGATCAGCCCGACGGGGCGCCAGCTGTGACAACCGACACGCGACGGCCGGTCACCGGGGGCGGGGGAGGGGGGAGGAGGTCAGGCAGAGGGCACAGCACGGGCAAGGCAAACAGCAGGAATGAAAACAGAGAGCGAGAGAAGCTGTCGTCTGCTTTTTGTCAACCGGGGTTGGGAGATATTGTTAACGGCAAGTTTTATGTGTAGAGAGAATGATAAGCCGCTTTATGCGCGGCTTATGTGTGACTTGGCAATTAATGTCACGCTACGAGAATGATTGATAATATAATTGCAACAGTGAAAGTTGGTGATTTCTTGTGCTGAAGTTCGTGATTCTGTACGACTTATCGGATTTCAGGCGGTGGAACTGACAATTTTTGATTATGTAGAAAAATCGGTCACAACAAATCAGACCAATGGTGACTCTGGAGTCATGCTATTTCACATTAACTAAAATAGCTTACGAAATTTTGACTGTCACGGGCCACAGCACAAGACACTATTTCAGATAATGTTCCTTCATTACGCACCAGGACATCTAAGAATAGAAAAGTACGACTCTATTACATTGGAAACAGACAGTAAGATTGGAGCCAGCAGCAGTCTGAGTCCACCTCTCACCCACCAACTCCACGAGAACTCCCTCTCACCAGTCCCCTTTCCCCGGCACAGGGTACCCACCTTATCGTACTGCTCCCTGTCCTGGAGGCGGCGTCCGTCCATTTTGGTCACCTTCACCTCACAGGGCCACCGGTCGGCCTCGGGCAGGTAGTCGAGCAGCACTTGTTTGAGCCGACGCACCCGACCCGCCTGGACGTCGTTACACACCAGTGACGCTGCCGGAACGACAGGCGAGCGGTCAGGTCATAGGGATAGGTGCTTTGCGGGCGGTTTTTGCTTCTTTAGCATTTTACCGGCCTCAATCGAGCATTGAGAATAGTTTTATGTGCAAATAGAGGGCCAGTATGCATTGGAACTCCATGCCTGGTACCTAGTCAATTATCTCGTTAGTCAAAAAGCAAGTGCCGTGAGGAGTGGATCCTAATCGTATGCCAGGATATGGCACGTTCGTTTAGTACCAAGCACTGTGTGTGTGTGTGTCTGAGGCGTTTATGCAGAAAAACATCGAACACTTGTACAGGGCACATGAAAAACACCACACAGACCAAGCTTACCCACCGACAGCGATCCTCTAGAATTTCAAGGTGTGCCTGTTATTACAAACCCCTTCCCCACCCCTCACCCACCAGCCCCATCCGATGCCAGCCCTGCGCTCAGGTGACTCAGTCTCAGCTCCCTCCCACACTCACACTAACCTGGCCGCAGTGTCTGCAGGATAGCCAGTGCCTTCCCACCGGGCGCCGCGCACAGGTCCAGGACAGAGTCCCCTGGCTGTACGTCCAGCGCCAGTACAGGCAGCAGAGACGCCGCGTCCATCGGGTAGTAGTCTGCAGCGAAACGCACGCCACGGTAAGAGACGGTGGATGGGTGAAGGGATAGTGCATGAGAACCGATATGCCATTCACAAATAATCAATAAAATAATTACTAAAATCGAGGTGCCAAACTACCTATGACGAACAAAACACCGCTGGTATTCAAATGATTTCCCGAAGACTTTTGAAAAAAAAAACTGATCGATTTCCTCGTAAAACATGCTGCACAAGACCGTATCGAAGACGAGTATTCTGCACATTTCTGGCTATTGGTAACAGCAACCAGCCAGCACAATCTACGCCCTAACAGTCCATGGATTGGCTTGCATTCTATCATATAGCATGTCGGTTTGGCCAGATAGTTGCCAACGAACAGCACATCTTCTGACAATAGTCGGGCCGCCTGATGGCGCTACTAGTCACCCCCACAAACTCGGCTAGAGCACTGCATACAATCACATGCAGACAGACACCCAGAGGCCGCTTCTGCCCCTTTCCTTTGCGCTATGACGCACCTTTGGCCCCCGAGCCGGAGGTCTGCGGGTGAGGGAAGCGAGAGATGTCTCCGGCCGGGTAACTGAAGAGCCTCAGCGTCTCTGGGATGGTAATCGGTCCGTCCCGATCCACGGCCACTCGCAGACTGCCGTCCTCCTGGGGACGGAGGGACGGGAGGGCAGAGGGAATCTGGTCAGGTAGCTGTGAGAGCAGGAGAAATCATGGACTTGAATGAATCATCATACCTACATACTGAAGAAAACGGTCGACTAATTATATTTCATGAAAAACGGTTAACACATTGCATAACTTTTTCACTGGTAACTCAATGCGCAAAACGTCACCCAATGATTTGGTTTATTACTGTAAACAAAGTATGCAAAACATTAAAGAATGGTCATTCTGAAAAGATTTGCCCTATAAAAACAAACTCCCTTACGAGCAAAATCACTCGATGAGAGCCTATCCGAGCAACACTTAACAGCCCATCCAAAGAGGTTCTAACCTGCGCGAACTGGAAGTAGTCGCCCTCCTCCAGCCAGTCATCATCTCCGTGCAGCTGACTGGCCGGCACGTAGTCGTGCAGAACGGCGGAGGATACGTCTGTGGGCTCCAGGACCCGCAGCCGACCGGCCGCGTCTGCCTCCTCCTCAGGAGCGGAGGCAGAGGTGGCAGAGGTGGGAGAGGAGTGAGGAGAGGGAGTAGATGGGGTTTGGTCGACCGTGGAGCCAGACAATCGCAGCCGAGAGATCTGACTGCGCAGCTCTGCCGTAAGGTCGATACTTCCAGTCTCCTGTGGATGGGGTGACGAAACTTGTTTGCAACGAGTGGACTACACAGTAGTTTATCGCAAAACGAGTCGCCAGTCGTTAAAAATTGATGATCAAACATGAAATTTACCGTTTATCTCGTTAATTTTTTCTCAGAAAATATCAGAGAAGCACCTATGTATATGTGATTTCACGCTTCGCACGATCATAAAGTACAAGGCTACTCAGACCTCCAATGGACCTCTGTGTCGTCAAATATCTGGGCGACGATCATTGCTTTGAATATATGACGCACAACACAGCACTTTTCAGGCTGGAGTCTGCCGAAATCGCATTCCGGCATTCACCCTTTTCATACCACTCTCTAGCCCCTTCCTGCTGCCCCCACTGACCGTCAGCCGGTCGCACGTGCCGGCTACGTCGCCGAAGTGGTTGACCAGAGCGGCCGGCTTGGAGCGACACAGCAGAGCCAGCCGCATCGAGCGCCAGCGCGCGCCGTAAGTCTCCGGGTAGAAGTGGTCAAAGTGCTTCATTGCCAGCGCTGGCCCCGTCTGCCGGCGCTTCAAATTCGCCTGTCGGTAACAGACACTCGTTCAAATACATTTTGCAACATAGCTATTGAAAAAAATACATCAAACCAGTGAAGAAATATGAATCTTAATTTAACTTCATTTGTTTTCAATGGATTCATTTCTCATTACCTTATATCATCTGTGGGCTGTGGCAACAATTTTATTAGAGTTAACTTAACCCTCGCATGTGTAGGGGGGGTCGGATGGACCCCCTCCATGGTTTTTCGCGAATAACTCGCGTAAAAAGCGGCCGATCGCGACGAAACTTTCAGTACCCTCGCATTGATCAATTTTACACCTACCCTGAAAATTTCATGACCCTGACCCAAATGACCTTTGACCTGTGACCTCTTTTCCGAGACCATGTTTGGCCGGAATCGCGATTTCGCGTATGTCGGCTCGCACTAGCCGCGTGTTTGCAAGCTTTTCGTGGTTTCAAACGTTCAAACATGTGATTTGATGTTACTCCCGTGTGTGTCAAGGTCACCTGAAGGTCAGGTCAGGTCATTGACCTTTGGTGACCTCGGGTGACCTCGGGTCACTTTTTCGAGTTTTACATGTTTCTAGGCTAGTTTTTGGAGCTGAATTCGAATTTAGCAACCATTTGAACATTTACGAAGTAGTTTTGGTGACTTCGTAACATGTTACGAAGCTGTCAGAGGCGGTTGACACGTACTACGAATACCCGTCACGACGCCTACTGGTTGACCTGACCTGACCTGACCCGACCTGGTCTAAATGCTTCAAGACATCATCTGTGATCAAAACTAACACGATATTCGTGATCAGCACCCCGAAAAACCCCTTAGCAGCCACACTTTACGACTTTCTAACAGGTCCCGATTTTCCCGACTTTGGGTCATTGACCTGACCTGGAAGGTCAACCAATGACCTAGGACCTTAAAATTGGGTATCATCGGATTCCTCTCGTCACGGGCAACACGCTCGTTTTTTCCGCGAAGCTCTAGCTCGATCAGGGGCCAAACGGCAAGGGGGGGTCCAACCGACCCCCCCCCCCTACACATTAGAAGCTGGCAAACGCCGCACACATGCGAGGGTTAACTCCAAGCAGCACTTTAAAAAATTCCCATCAGTTTATGATTTTTTTTTGTATTAGTATATAAAATGTTCAAATGCCAAACTGATTATGAAAAGCATGTTATACAATGTATTTTGACCTCCTGATTTCATATCTGATAATTATTCATTCGGGAAATAAGTATCAAAGCACCTGTAAAATATTTACAGTTACCACAAACTGTTACCACACTCCACACACACAACCGCACATTCCAGCTTCCGGCCTTGGTATTTGCCATCTGTCACCAAGTTTGAGTGCAAATATGTTCCCTTCAGATGCTAGGTATTCAACTGTGAATAATGACATTGACATTGTCATAATATTCTCAAGGCTTAGCAGTGCCGAAGGCAATGTCTTAGGAGAGATTACAAGTAATGCCCGTCACTGGCACTGACATTGACATTGACACTGGCACGGGCACTGGCAGACACTGGCAGACTGAGTCAAATATTTTTAGGTTAAGTGGTTGTGTATCTGGCTTCAAGCCAAAGCATAGCCTTGGTTCATAATATAAAGTTTGTCGTAACACATACACTAGGTTTATCAAATCCTCAACAAACCAGCTGCTGAACCATGCAAGTTTGAAGTCCAAACTGAAAAAACTGTTGGACAGATGACAAGTGAAGCAAAGCTTGCAAACCAATAATGCCTAGATGAACTCACTAACTGCTCAGCAGCTCAGTGATGTAAAGTGAAATCTTCAAAATGGAAATATCATATCTGAAATGGACAAATTATTACAGATTTAGGAGCATTTTAGTGAAAAAAACATCTTAATTTCACATTATATTGACATACCCAGTGATCCGCTTTTTTGCTCTTCCATCTTCGGCTTAACAAACTGCTTTCTTGGCAACACCTTCCACAAAGTTTAGGTGAGAATAATATGCAGCGGTTCATTGTTATCACATATCCTAACGCAATTAATCACAATACCGTATTGGTATACACCGGTAAATGGTAATTATTATTGATATCAATATCGTATAAAGACAAGTCAGGAGGGATGCCGCGCCAAGCTGTCCATCTTTCATCTCAACTGCGCCACAAATGACGCCAGATTTTGCGTAGCCATCAGCTAACTTTTATCAAGAGTTTTTCTTAGTTCTGCATCACGTAAGTTTCCTTGACTTGGTTTCCCTGATGTTTTCATCAGTTTTCTTAAAAAATACAAAACCAAAATTAAATTTTTGATCATCTTCGCCTTAACACAAAGACGTATCAAATTGTCTATTAACTATGACCAACAAAAATATTTGCGCTTTATATGGTATTGCGGCACAGCCTGCTTGCAGCTTGCAGGTAATGGGCTAGTGCCATCTAGCGACAGGAATAGCGGTACGGGATGTTGTCCGCTCGGTCTTCGCCGCTTGGTCACGGTAGATCAAGTATTAATAATACGTACTAGGTCACCCTCCCGCGCCTACCGGCGCTAATTGTAATCGTCGTTTGAACATCTATATAGAAATCCCTGCCCGTCCCGTCCAAAATCCCGTCCATAATGCCCGCTTTCTCTCTCTCTCTCTCTCTCTCTCTCTCTCTCTCTCTCTCTCTCTCTCTCTCTCTCTCTCTCTCTCTCTCTCTCTCTCTCTCTCTCTCTCTCTCTCTCTCTCTCTCTCTCTCTCTCTCTCTCTCTCTCTCTCTCTCTCTCTTTTCCTTTCCCTTTCTCACTCCCATCTGCCTCCAACCCTCTTCCCTCCCTCCTCTCCGCTCTCTGACTTTGTCGATCACTGATCCAATCGTATGCTTACTTACCCCTCACCATCCGTCTCTCTCCCTCCTCTCCCCGTCTCCTTCATCGCACTTTTTCGCTCCTCCCTCCCTCCCTCCCTCGATTTCCTCCCCTCCCCTCCACTCCCTCCCTTCCCCTCCTCTCCCCTCCACTCCAATCCCCTCTTGGTACTGAAAAAGTACTGGCTAGTGGCTTCTTCCCCGCCCGCGTTGCAGATACATATACGTTTTTATGTCCCAGTTCAAGACGCTATACGCATATTGGTACGCTCGTAATACTAAACATGATCGCTATTTTTTCAGTATTTTGTGGAATTCTGTAACTAACCTATCCCAAATCTGAGTGACGCCTTCCTCCCTCTGCACCCCCCCCCCCCCGCGACCCACCACTCACGATCGATAATGTTTTCAGTGCTAAAGATTATATGCCTGCTCTGTTTCCGTTTCCGTCTTCCCTCTCTGCCTTTGTCTCTGTATCTGTCTCGTCTCGTATTCCATCCCCATCTCCGTCCCAGCTCCCGTCCCAGCTCCCATTCCCGCTCCCGCTCTCTTTCTCCGTCCCCGTCTTCATCTCCCTCCCGCTGACCGCTTCATCTCCGTCTCCGCCTCTGTCTCTGTCTCGTCGCTGTCTCTGTATCTGTCTGGTCTCCGATTCCGTCGCCGTCTCCGTCCCCGTTCCCGCGCTCCAGCTCCCGCTCTTTGTCTCCGTCTCCATCCCCGCTCCTGCTGGCCGCTACATCTCCGTCTCCGTCTTCGTCTCCGTCCTGTCCCCGTGCCCTTCCCCGTCCCCACTAAACATAATCGATAATCTTGTCAGTATTTTGTGGAATTCTGTAACCAACCTATCCCAAATCTGGATACCTCGCCCCCCCCCCCCCCGCCCGCCACTCAGGATCGGTAATGTAGTTATTCGTAGCGGCCGGGTGCTGCAACTAAGCTGTAAGTGCATTTTAAAAACGTCTTTCGGCTCCATTCTCTGTACTTGTTCTCTCACCGACTCAATCATTTGCTCACTTAGTCACTTACCCTTCCCTCTCCCTCCATCATTTCTTTAACCATCCAAATACCATTTACCCTTCCCATGTCTGTATCATGCCGCATTCCCGCTGTCCGGCAGCGGCCGCTCTGACGGCACCGCAGTTACCGCACCAACCCCTCCGCCCGCTCGCCCCACACTGCGCCGCCGCCGGCCCGTGACTGCGGCCGGTCGGTCACGTGGGGACCGCAGCGACCTCTACGGGGTCGCGACCCTAGCGGTCGGGTACAACAACTAAAGATTAAAAAACGTCCCGAGCTGGGATCGAACCAGCGACCCACACCACAGAAGTCCACTACTCTACCAACCGACCCATCAAGGACGCAAACATTATCGATTTGAATAAGCCGTGGTACTCTGCACGGCTTGATGACATGGTCTGGTGCGTATTGCGGCGTTTTACGGCGAAGTGGTTGAGAGCAAATTTGGTTTTAAAGGAAGGTTATACGCCATGTTTCTTGACCAAATTTTCAGAACAACAGGGCAAAAGCAAGACAGTACGCTGGAATTGGTTGTCCAGCGGTGACATAAACGTTTTATGATCGGCGATCGCCGGTCGTGTGAGCTGACGTCACGCAGACAGTCAGCGCCATCTCTGGAGCGTCGGGCGACATAGCCGAGGGGCCGAGTTTGGCTATTTGGGGGGTGCGAATGCGATTAAAAATGTGCCGCGCACATAGCCACGATCGAGAGCTGTCGATTGGTGGTTGAATTGTGTCTGTAGGTAGTGTGTGTCGACCGTGATAGGGAAAAAACTGAAACGCTTCACGTATTATTTATTGTCGACGACGATTAAGTAGCCATTCTTTGATTCTTCCATAATCATAAGTGTTAAACCCATGCCCGCTAGGAGGGGGGTGGAACACGCCCTCCACCCTCCTCTGACTCGGCTCCTGGACCACGTAGCGACTAGCGACACGCGGTAGGCGCCGACCCCCACCAAACACGATTTGGCAGCACTGTAATGGCGTCTGCTGGGCGTGAAGTTTTCCCTTCACCATAGGGTTTACACACAAACTGGTCAAAGTTTGAGCCAGGATATACTAGTCTAAAAATGCAAAAAACGAACAAATTTTGGCATCAATAGATTCAGCATTTCATCGTGTGCCTCAAACCGTCCATCATTTGGCCTCAAAGGAGGTAAAAATTGTTCAAAATCGAAGTTGAAAAGGTGCTTTCTGAGCACATAATCTGGTAGCAATCACGTGACCTGCTATAAGCAGCTTATCGATAATTTACAAACATAATTATTAATATGCTGCTTTAACCCTCGCCGGCCGAGGGGGGGGGGGGGCGGGTGCCGCCCCCCCCCATAGGGTTTTTTTCGCGATAGCTCCGAACACGCTGGCAATAGAGAGCTGAAACTTGGCATACCTGACCTTTGATCCAAGCCGCATCTTTTGACACCAACCGCATTTTTGGGTCAGGTCAGGTCACTGACCTATGACGTCATAAGTGAACCTCTGCACGGTCTTCAGATGTCGCAACTTCGCAACACCCTCACTGCCAGAGGAGATGTCACAGGGAAATGAAACTTGCAGGATCTAGTATCCATTATGAGTCTCACAACTTGTATATCTCGGATTTTTCCTAAAGGTCATATGAGGTCAGGTTATTTTCGTGACCTCACCATTATAAGTCAATGGGGAAAAATTCAAACTGCTATTCTGGCGCCGGGAACGATCTCCAACTATCTCAAGCACACAGAATCGTGATTTGATGCACTCCTTGCAAGGTTAGATGCGTCACTTTTGCAATGTTGACCTTGCGTGACGTCATTTATGACGTCATCAAGGTCATACTAGTTTTTCGTCAATAACTCTTGATCAAATTGAGCTAGCGAGTCGGGAAAGCCACCAATGGACTCAGGAAGACCTGCCGAATCGAATGATATGCGACATGACCCCTTTCGACCAACTTCGTGACCTTAGGGTGCTGACCTGACCTTGACCTGAGGTCAACACCCCAAGTTGACCTGACCCGAACAAAAAGTATGTCATTCGACGCGCCTGAGCGAGGCGAACACGATGCTGCCAAAATCGCGGCTCTGCGGCCATTTTTTGCGAAGCTATTCACCAAAAACTGAACCGTACCTTGGGGCACGTGACCTGACCTCAGAGGTCACCGGTTGACCTAGGACCTTAAAATCGGGTACCAATCTCTGCGTCTCGTAACGGCGCACACGCTCGTTTTTTCCGCGACGCGCTAGCTCCACCAGGGGCGAAACGGCGAGGGGGGGGGTCGTACCCGCCCCCCCCCCCCCTCGGCCGGCGCGTATGTAGAAAACCAATAGGTCCGGCGAGGGTTAAACAACATTAATTTTTTTTTCATACCTTTTTATTAACACAATTCACATAAAACACAAACAAAAATAAGCCTAAAACATTTTTGTGCTCCCATCGGCGACCCGCCTGGCCAGGCCGGGACGGTGTCAATCCGTGACATGTGCCGTCCCGGCCCCGGGGAGAGCTGTGGGATCCCTCCCCAGCCGGGGAGATCTGATGGCTACCTCCCCGGCGCTCCAGGCGGGCCGCCAGCCCCCGCCCGCACCGCCCGGCAAGCAGCCCCGGGCGGTGCCCCCTAACCACCGACCGGGCGAGCGAAGCGTCGACCCGTGTAGGTCGGCGCTCCGCACGCCCGGCCGGCCGACCGGCCCCTCACAGGAGGGGCCAGTCCCGGGTTGGCCCGGATGGGTCATAGGGGCGGGGGCTTGTAGCGCGCACATCGTTTTCCACTAACACTTTTTATAACAAACACCATATGCATACACACAAAGGACAGTCATTTTAACATTGTGTATCATCGACATTCGACACCTGACATTTGCCCCTTCCCCCCTTCCCATCGTAGAAAAAAATGTACACATCATGTTGCACTACGCAAACATCGTGATACACAACAATAATTAGTCACAAAGTGTTTGTTTCATATCCTAAGGCGGTTACCTTTCTACACGCTCCGCTAAAGCGCAAAACAACGAGCCCCAGGTATCGTTGAATTGCGTTTCTCGATCATTTATTTTATAAGCATACCTTTCTACTTTAAGATAGTTGTACAGGTAAGTGACGAATGTGGGCTCAGATAAGTGACTATTGCATTCCCTCTTATACCATATAAACTGTTTTCCCAATGAAAGAATAGTATTGATGCGCTTGCAGACCGCGGAATCGTTGTGCTCAAAACCGGTGACTACGGCTTTGTATGTAATATTGCGCCCGTTGAATAACTCACCAATACTGCTCCAAAAAGCCCTTACTCGGTGGCAATGCCAGAATAAATGTCCAATTGTTTCCACCTGGTGACAGTACGTA